GGAATGAAAGTAGCTATTTAACCCACCATTAAATTATCGAGTATCCATTTTGGTTCCACTTTTCTGCCTCTACAAACAATGCTGCAGTCACACTTCCGTGCGTACAACATTGTGATCCTATTGCTGTGAAACCGATTCCTCCAAATGAGGGACTGTGACACTTGTCATTCTCTTCCGCTAGGACTGAGTGCCCTTTCCTCCTCCCTGCCACCGGGTGATGTCACTCTGTACAATTTTTTGCCAACCTGTCAGAGCAGCAGAAACTGTTTTTTGGTTATTTTAATTTGAATTTCCCTAATAATGAGGTAGAACATTTTGATCCCTCTTCTGTGAATTGACTATTCATATCCTTTGCCTATTTTCCTTATTCGGTAGTTTTTTTAAAATATATGTATTTTTATTGATTTCACAGAGAAAAGGAGAGGGAGAGAGAGAGAAACATCAATGATGAGAGAGAATCATGGATTGGCTGCCTCCTGCACACCCCCCACTGGGGATCCAGCCCTGACTGGGAATAAAGCCGTGATCTCCTGGTTCACAGGTCGAATGCCCACATCAGCCGGGCTGGGTAGTTTTGTCTTTTTTTTAATCCTCACCCGAGGATATTTTTCCATTGATTTTTTTTTTTTTTTATATAGTGGAAGAGAGAGGGAGAGACAGAGAGAAACATCGATGTGAAAGAAACACAACGATTGGTTGCCACCTGCACTTGCCCCAACCAAGGCCTGGGCCGGGGAGAAGCCTGCAACCGAGGTACGTGCCCTTGACCGGAATCGAACCTGGGACCCTTTAGTCCGCCGGCCGACACTCTATCCACTGAGCCACACCGGCCAGGGCTGGGTAGTCTTTTTATAACAACTTACAGGTAGTCTTTATATTTTATTGATATTCACCCATTATCTGGAAGACAAGTAAATTTCCTTTTTTAAATAACTAGGTACTTAATTCATCTAAATATTTTTATATATGACATAAGTAGCTGCTTAATTTTCTTCCAGATGAATGCTAGTTGTGCCAACACCTATTTTTAAAAAAGAAATAGTAACTTAGTGAATCTTTCTCTACATACAAATGCCACACATTACATCCCCATAAATAAATGTGTGCTGGGTCTATTCCTAGAGAGTATTTTGTTGGATGGTCTATTTATTTAGGCCTTATAAATACCCTACAATAGCAGGCGTCTCATCACAGTCACATAGTATGTTTTATCCCACGGCAGGATAAGTCCCACCTTTTCTTCTTTTTCATAGTTCTCTTGGCTCTTTCAGGCATTTATTCTTTTCTCTGAACTACAAAAACGCTTGTACCCAATTAAAAAAAAGAACATAGCTTTTTAATATTTTCAGGCCTACTTCCAAATGAATTGGCACCATCTTGCTCAGTAAAAATGTAACTTAAAATGTTTAATTAGGTCACATAAAATATGCTTAAGTATATTCCTTTAGTAATAAACTTATTCCAGTTTTCAACTTTTCTTTTGAAATACATGAAAGGGGACTTAATGTAGACTAAAATAAATTGTTTAGAAAAAAATTTCGTTTAACTGAAACTTCCTTAACTCTGTGTAAAAAAATTGTGTAGCAGCATCTCTCTTGAAAAAAACACTCAGAAGATCAGCAATACCAGAAAAACATTATTGTTCTCCTTAATGTTTAGATCATAAGTGTATCAAAAATAAAAAAATAAATCTCACATTACAAATTAAATAGATTTATGTGCTAAAATCAATATTTAATTATAGAAGTAATCATGTTGCTAAAGTACTTTAAAAGATTTTCTCTAGAATAAATAGTAACAAATGATATCACTGGAATGGAACCAGAAAAATCCAGGTAGTAGGAAAATATAGATACGTCAACAACCAAATGACCTGACCTGGCCAGTTTGGTTCAGTGGTAGAGCCTGTGGACTGAAGGGCCGTGGTTTTGCTTCTGGTCAAGGGCATGTAACTCGGTTGCAGGCTCGGTCCTCGGCCCTGGTCGGGGCACATGTGGGAGGTAACCATTGATATCTCTCACATCAATGTTTCTCTCTCTGTCTCTCCCCCTCCTTTCCATTCTCTCTAAAAAACTCAATGAAAAAAATCCTTGGGAACAAAAATCATCCCAGCTGGGTGGCTCAGTTGGTTGCATCGTCCTATGCACCAAAAGACTGCCAGCTGGATTCCTGGTTAGGGCACATACCTAGGTTGCCAGTTCAAGCACCAGTCAGGGCTCATACAGGAGGCAACAGATCGATGTTTCTCTCGCTCCCTTCCCCTCTCTAAAATCTATAAAACATAGCCTCAGGTGAGGATTAAGAAGAAGTTAGTGAAATCTGAACAGTAAATATTTGATGACATCTAGGAATTACTGTTAATTTTTCTTAGGTCATATGTTTTTTAAAAAATATATTTTTATTGATTTCAGAGAGGAAGAGAGAAGGAGAGACAGAAACATCAATGATGAGAGAGAATCATTGATCAGCTGCCTCCTGCATGCCCCCCACTGGGGATCATACCCACAACCTGGGCATGTGCCCTGGACCGGAACTGAACATGGGACCCTTCAGTCCGCAGGCTGATGCTCTATCCACTGAGCCAAACCAGCTAGGGCTTGTGGTTATGTTTTTAAAATAAGAGTTATCTTTTAAACATATGTACCAAAGTATTTATTTACAAGTGAAATGATAAAATATCCTTCAAAATATTTGCTTCAAAATGATTTGCAATGGAGCGGGAGAGGATAAACAAGACGACTGTGAGTGGAACACCGGCGGGGGGGGGGGGGGGGGCTGGAGTCCTCACGTTTACATGTTTGAAACTTTCCGTAAGGGAAAATTAGAAAACAAATGTCCAGTGGGAGGAAATGAAGGACTGGGGATTTCAGAGAAGTTGCTTGGTTAAGTGATACCAGCAGAGAGAGTGGTCTGGGCTGAATTAAAGCCTAAGAGATTATTCAAAAGTCATTACTCAAAAATGACTCATTTCAGGGAGAAATTTAATGCAAAGAAATTATATTTTATGTTGTAATATACCGATATAAGAAAACAAAGTTCAGACTTTCAAGTAAAGGTAACTTCAAACATTTTACCTTGAGCTCCAGCCTTGTGGTATTTGCCTGGCACCGGTAAGTGGCGAGAAGAAAGTTGTCACTGGACTGGGTAGAATTCAAAGTGAAGGAAAAGGATGAAGCCTTGTTTTTAACAGAACAAACAGCATCAATAATGGCCACCGTCTGCCAAGCACTCACTCTCCTGTGGGTGGCGCTGTGCTAAAGGCTTCTTGCTTATTCCTATGCCGTAAGTTTTACAGATGAAGAGACTGAGGCATGAGGGGTTGGGTTAACTCCCCAAAGCCAGTGATTAATAAAACTGGAATTCAAATTCATGTCTTTGAAGACTCTAAAGCTCATGCTCTTTCCATCTTGAATATCTACAATAACATTTTAAAATATTGTGTTCTAAAAATGTAATGGATAGTAAAAACTCCTAATGTTTATATTATAAACACAAAGACATCAATGTTTGGTATAGGATGTCTTTGATTTTCACAAACACAGAGGACTGAGAAATATCTCATCTCTGTATTTCCACCAATGGCTGACTGCAGGAATTCAATGTTTGCTGAATTAAGTTGCTGAGATAACTTCAAGTATTATAACTTCTTGAAATTAAATATTAAACGACTAAAATAGCATAAAATAAGACTGGCCATATGTTGAAGTCGGTGATGAGTACATGAAGATAATGCTACTATTCTTCCACTGTTGTATGTACTTGAAATCCCCACAGTAAAGTTTTTATAAAGCTATCGTACCAGAAAGCAGGTTTTAAATTAGTATAAAATACTCATTCCCAAGAATCCAGCAGTGATGTAAGTAAGGTTACTCTTTCACAGTAATTTACAAATGAAAGATCTTATGTTTATATTAATTTTTAAAATGATGATAAAAATGTAGACCCTAATGTTTTATGTTGTAATTTGCAAACAGGGATGACAAACCGTATATAACACAATACAACTGTTACAAAATTTCTTATCAAGAAAAAAAGCTTTACTATGAAACTATGTTATGTTGAAAATTATTCCCTAATATAGAGATCAACTTTGTTCTTTGTCTGTTCTTCTTACTCCTCCCTTTTGTCTGTGTAGAACCACATGCCCGCTGCGGCCCGGCCCGTCTGCTGCTCGGCTGCTGGGCACGCAGCCATGGCAGCCCTTGCTTCCCTCCCTCCCTCCTCCTCAGGAGCCCGCCCGCTCAGGCTGCTCCCCAGCGGTACAGTGCGCCCAGAAGCTCCAACACAGTCTCATCCTTGGCGCTTTGCACACAGTAAGTGCTCAATAAATGTCTGCTGATGAACAATAAGCAAGATCCAACAAGCCCAGAGAAAGCGAGGAAGGGCTGGCAGGGACTGAGCACATTCAAACGTAGGAACGTATAAGACTACATCGCAGTTTCAAGAAACGTCGAGCACTTCAGTGAGGCAGGAATAATGGGCATGAGGAAGGTCGAGCTGTGAGAGACAGTGGGAGCTGGAAGCAGAGTGAATCCTGGAGGAATCTAGCTCACACGCCACAGGACACGAGGAGGCTCAGACAGGTTTAGAAGGACTCGGTGATGTCTGTGTTTTAGGGAGAGCTGTCACCACAGTGCACAGCACAGCTGGAAGCGGGGCATCCTGGCCACAGAGAAAGGGGATGAGGGAGTGGTTCAGGCAAGCAGGGGGCGGGCTGGACGGCTGAGAGCAGTGGAGGGAGCAGAGGGGGCAGGACAGCGGGACTGGCAGGAACTAATCGGATTTCACGGTCAGAGAAGGGAAGGATCTAGGAAGGCCGGTTTCTGGATTACCTGAGGATGAAGAAAGGGCAGAAGCAGGTTTTGAGGGGAAGGTTATAAAATGAGAAACTGATGAAGAAATGTAGAACCTAGTGGTGTTCGTAGGCTTTATTCAAAATAGCAAAATAGGAATGAAGTCGCCGGAGGAATTCCTTATTCTCACTCACCTCAGCGTCACAGCTGCTGAAGCTGACAACAGCGGAATTCTTGTCCACATCAAGTAGGTCTATGGGGACATCACTCTGCAGCCAACATTAAAAAAAGGTTCAGGTGAAAAATTAAAACTTTTTCTCAAAACCTATTTTCTTTAAGGGTTTTCCTTATGTTCATCTTCAAAGTTGAGAGTATAAATTCTCTTATATTTGATAATATGTACTTCTAGAAAATAAGTAGAGAATAATAATAGAGAATAAGTATTATAATGACCTATGGTTTTCTAATTTGGGAGATCAGAAGTCATAGAATATCATCTCACTCTCCCCTGAAAAGTATAATCTTCGCCCTTGCCAGTTTGGCTCAGCGGATAGAGAGTCGGCCTGTGGACTCAAGGGTCCCAGGTTCGATTCCTGTCAAGGGCATGTACCTTGGTTTCGGGCACATCCCCGGTAGGGGGTATGCAGGAGGCAGCTGATCGATGTTTCTCTCTCATCGATGTTTCTAACTCTCTATCCCTCTCCCTTCCTCTCTGTAAAAAATCAATAAAAATATATTTTTTAAAAAAAGCATAATCTTCCCGTCTATTTCTGTCAGTGCTAAAATGTTACCAGAGGCTGCAAATACTCACATGGCCTTCTGACTATATCAGTTCATTTTTACTGATTTTAACCTCAGCTGTAACACAGACAGGAGAGAATTTTTGGTCTCCTCTGGAGAGGTAGTTTCTTTTATTTTATTTTTCAATTACAGTTTACATTCCATATTATTTAGTACTAGAGGCCTGACGCACAAAATTCGTGCATGGGTACGGTCCCTAGCCCTGGCCTGCAATGAGGGCCATCTTCCCCGGCTGCCTGCAGCCGGCCCCGCCCCCCGCCGCCACCGACCCCTGGTCCCCCGTTCTCAATTGGGCAATCGGAATCTGCTGGCTTGGGGTCGGGCATTCGCCCCTGCTCGCCGTCCCTGCCCCCATCGCAGGTCACCCTCTGTGTGTGGGGCGACTTGTCGGGCAGGGGCCTTGGCCTGGCGACACCGGCATCCCCCACTACCCACCCCCAGTTCCCCGTTCGCCATCAGGCGATTGGAGCCTGCTGGCTGGGGAAAGGGACCTAGAGGTGGTCAGTGCACCTCATAGTGACTGATTGAGTGGTCATTCTGCCATTAGGGTCAATTTGCATATTACCCTTTTATTATATAGGATTATATAGGATAGAAGCCCAGTGCACGGGCGGGGGCCAACCGGCCTGCCCTGATGGGGGCCCTGGATTGGGGTGGGGGTCTTCGCTGGGTAGCGGTGCCTGCTGGGGTGAGGGGCCATGGGTGATTTGCAGGCTGGCCACACCCCTAGTAAGGGGGGGGGGGGGGTCCCTGCTAAGGGGCGGGGCTGACTGGGGTAAGGGGCTGCAGGCGGTTTGCAGGCCGGCCATGCCCCTGATCGGGGTAGGGGTCCTTGCTGGGGGTTGGGGCTGGCCGGGCCATGGTTGTTCCATTTTGGTCACTGGGCTTTTATTATATAGGATGAGCTTTAGGTGTACAGCACAGTGGTTAGACAATCATATACAATACAAAATGTTCCCCCCAACATTCCCAGTACCCACCTGGCATGCCACATACTTAGAATATTATTGGCTATATTCCCCACACTGTGCTTTACATCCTGTGACTGTTTTGTGACTACCAGTCTGCACTTCTCATCCCCCCTTCCCCATCCAGCCCCCGCAGGCAGTCTCAAGGCCGATGCCTGCGCTGTGCTCTGTGTATGTGGTTCCTGAGGTGTTCCAGGCGGCAGTCCTGAGCTAGAGTTAGGAGAGATTTCTGCCTTTACGTTTTGATTGATAATCTGATCTCTCATCCACGTCTTTTAAAAGCTTATCTTCCTCCCCTTAGTCTTTTCTCATTTTCTGATGGGTTTTCTATCATTTCCTTGTTTTCCATTCTTTGTACTATCATCCTTGTCACTCCAACTAAAGAAATCATTAAATATATTGAAGCATGAAGTTGTACATTATAATCCCTACATTTCACCTTCGGGATTATGTTCTTTGCCTACTGACCTCCCTAAGAGCTGGTAATGCAAGCTGTACTGCGGGCTGTTTATTTCAGTATTTGAAGCTTAAACATTCTAATAAGGGCATTAAACGCTGCAGTTTTCTAAGTTGCATCTCTGTTAAGATTCTCTTAAAGGTTAGCCAAAGTACAAAATCCTTAGTGTCCTTTCTGACTCATCCTCAAACTTAAGTGCCTCAGCCTTTTGTTTAATATGCACAGGATAAAGTAAAGCTATAATTTTGGTAATTTATGAGCAAACTGATAATCTAATGGGAGACTAAAATAAGCCTTTAAAAGTACTATCTAAACTAAATATAACATTTAAAAGACCAACATTCACATTACAGGTTAGACATTTTGCTTACCTGCACTAAGACATTGTCTATCGCGGTCTGCACTTCCAAGATAAGGCTGTAGCTGGCATCGTCTTTATTTAATGTAAACTTGTCATTTATGCTAAAGGAAGGGACCACTGATTTTGCTTTGCTTGACTGCGAAGACTGTTGATATCTCTCTCTTTCCTGTGTTACCTTAAGTTGCAGCTGCTCCAACTCACTCCTGGAGGAAAACAGATACAACTCTGTCACCTGTAAGTATAAACATCTGAGGTCCTTAAAATGTTTATAAAAATTTGAGACATTTACTTCTGCAAAATGGATTCTTTTAACCCTCTCCTGAGGACCTATTTAGAGGGAGGAAGGGAGAGAGGAAGGGTGTGAGAGAGGGGGGAAGAATGAGAGAGAAATATCGATGCACCCTGACCAGGGATAGAAACTGCAACCTTTCTGCTGTACGGGACGACACTCCAAGCAACTGAGCCACCCAGCCGGGGCAGCGAATGGATTTTTATTGGTTGAGCTAGAACTGTAACACTAATAGGAACGGAATTTTTGCTTATAGGACTCACTAAACGATTCCATATTATTTATCTCTAATCTAAAAATTAAAACACCTACTCAGTCCCACACGAGCCACATTAACACAAAGCTGTAAGTATCGAGGCAGCTGCAGACAGCCCACGCTCACACGCCGGCCTGGTCACGGCACCTGCAGCACCAAGCGGAGGGGAACCTGACTGTCCGGGCCCAGGAACACGTCAGACCTGAGCAGAAGCCAGTGAACATGCACCTTTCGGTAAGACGCGAGGGAGACAGACACAATGAGGAGGAGGCTGCAGAGCTCCCACATCTGGGGCCCACAGGGTGATCATGAGGCGTGGAGCAGCAGGCACTCGGTCCAGTGCTGGGGAGGATGCTGGGACTGAACTGCAGGGGCAGTGCAGGCAGTGGCCCCCGTGACCGGGAAAGGCCATATGCAAACAGAGCAGACAGTCACGGGGGTTGAACATGGGCTTAGCTACCCAACTTAGGAGAAAATCTGGGAGGAGAGGAGGGGGTCTGTGCAGTGAACCAAGGGAAAGACCGTTGCTGAGTGTGTCACACACACCTACGTCCCAGGTGCTGAGTGAACGGAGCGGACAGAAGCGCCTTGTGCTGTCAGGAGGGGCACGCCTGGTTGTAACCATAAGGCATGAGGGAGCGTGGGAGCTAGTCGTCATGAGCTCTGCTTGCTCGCCTTGCTGCACGCACAGCACAGCTTGCTGTCCTGGTGGCTTTGGTGAACGGGCGTGAGGAGAACTGTGGTGAGGCTTTAGGGAACCAGAACACTTCTGAACTCTCAACTGCCAGCCAACAAATACTGGCCCTCACTCCCCCAAGAGATGGCAAGGGTTGGAGTAGGAAGGGCAGTCACTAAGTTTCAGCCCTACCCACCTCTTCAATGGAACTGTTTGAATGGTTACAAAGCAGACCCTGGGTCCAAGGAAGTCAACATTATTCATTTCCACTAAGAAAACGTATAAGCCAGAGTTAGGGATTCAGAGAGGCCCACAGAGGCAGTGAGCGTTAGAATGAGTGAGAGCAGAGCCATCGGTGTGAGCTGCATTATAAATATTTTTTTAAATATATTTTATTGATTTTTTACAGAGAAGAAGGGAGAGGGATAGAGAGTTAGAAACATCGATGAGGAAACATCGAAGTTTTTTTTAAAATATATTTTATTGATTTTTTTACAGAGAGGAAGGGAGAGGGATAGAGAGTTAGAAACATCGATGAGAGAGAAACATCGATCAGCTGCCTCCTGCACACCCCCCACTGGGGATGTGCCTGCAACCAAGGTACATGCCCTTGACCGGAATCGAACCTGGGACCCTTCAGTCTGCAGGCCAACGCTCTATCCACTGAGCCAACCCGGTTCGAGCAGTGTGAGTGCTTTAATGCCTGTAAAAAGCAAAACTTGACCACTATCCCCACACAAACAATATACTTCTCCGTCTAAGAAGAAGCCAATACACACACAGTACAGCACACGAAAAGTGTATTTCTCACTCCGAAATATTCATCAGCATTTACCGCTGATTTTCTCAAACTGATAAACTTTCATTTAAAAAGTGATAAATGACTGTGTAATTCCTTCCAATATAATACACTGCATCTATAAGTAACCAAAACAGCAGCCACTGCGCACGTCATGAGATGAAGACTGACAGGCAAACGAATGCAACGTTACCGCAGGCAGGAGAGTTTCTGCTGCGTCTCCTGGTTGAGCCGGAGCTCCTCGCCGGGCCCGCCCTCCTTGTGCACTGGCTCCGTGGTCAGCCCCGTCACCCAGCCTGCGGGGAGGGATGCAACCGGCACCGTGAGCGCCGACGGGCCACGGGAACCCAGCCCACTGCCCCCGCCACCAGCACCAACCTCACTCCAGCACACACTCCTCTCCAAAACCCAAACAAAACAAGAACTAAAAGAAATGAAGCTGGAAAATATTCAAACCACAAGGAAATTACGTAAGCATTTTGTGAAACCATTTTTGCTTTGCCTGAAATACTAGCAAACTATGATTAAGGAGATCTTTCATTTAATTTACAGTTTTAGTTTCCGAGTACGAAATAAGTCAACACATTCTAACAAATGCAAAAATAGCTGATGAATAAGAATCGTTTTTCAAAAATTATTTTCATGTTGTTAAACTCTTGTATAACGTTGTGAGAATGTAAAAATGATCTAGTTAAAAGCAAGCAAGATTTTATAACAAATGTGTATTTCTTATATTAATAATAAATATTAAATAATAAAACATACACTAAATTTCTTTTTAAACCAAAGAATATTATTTAACTTTCAAAGATACTAGTGATATGCCAAACATTTTTAAAAATATTTTTATTGATTTTAGAGAGTATGGGAGATGGGGAAAGAGATACAAATATCAATGATGAGAATCACTGATCGGCTGCCTCCTGAACGCCCCACACTGGGGATCGAGCCCACAATCCAGGCATGTGCTTTGACTGGGAATCGAACAGTGATCTCCTAATTCATAGCTCAATACTCAGACACTGAGCCACATCGGCCAGGCTTAAAAAGTATTATTTAAATATTAACTGTTTTATAAATCAATATACCCTTATTTTTTAACCAATAATTTTTTAAAATCTATAGATAAGAGTGACTTACTATTTGGGATAAAGAACAGTACAATACACAGATGATATACTAATATTATAGAATTGTACACCCAAAACCTATATAATCTTATTAACCAATGTCACCTCAATAAATTCAATAAAAAACGTAAAAAATAACTTAATAAAAATGAAAAAATTTAAAAATGTTAAAAAGAGGGACTTACTAATAACACATTAAAAAACAGGTGTCAAAAGCAATTTACTAAATTTATATTTTTATTGTCCATTCTTCCTTCAACTGCCTATTACCCTTCACCCTACCTGAATATGTGGACACTACGATTTCGTCGTAGCCGTCTTTCCCCACACAACCTCCCTGGATAGATGTGACGCTTTCAGACAGCGCCTGAAAGAAATTTAAGATCAAACACGTCCTTAGTAACTAAACATTTCACAGATATGTTACAGTATGCCGCAAAACTTACTTCCTGTCTCCAGACATTCCACATGTTTACTGAGCACTTAGTATATGTAGACACTGAGACTGGAAAGGCAAAAACCCTGCACAAATGTCAGAAAATTCCAGTGTTTTTGTTGTTGTTGTTGTTGTTGTTAATCCTCACCCAAAGATATTCTCTCTATTGATTTATTTTTTCTTTTTAGAGACGGGGGCGGGGCGGGGGGCAGAGAGAGAGAGATACATTGCTTGGTTGCCTTGCGAACACACCCAACCAGGGGGCCAGGAACCTGGGCAGGGAATGAACCTGCGACCCAGGTACATGCCCTTGATGGGAAATTGAACCCAAGCCCTTTGGTGCCTGGGCCAACCACTGATCCACACTGGCCAGGGCAAATTCCAGTGTTTTTAAAGAGGATTTTTTACACCAAAGATGAACAAATAGGAAATAAATCTAGAAACTAAGTTGTACAGTACTTTTATCTCTATTACCTACATAATACACTTTATCTATACACCAAGACGTTTGTATTTGCTGATGGGCACTTGAAGCTGAGACTAGGAGGTACCACTGAGAGAAAGAGAACAGCTGATACTGAGCTGTGGCCGAGGCAGGAGGGAGACCCCGGACGAGAGAAATCGCTTCACGAACACGAAGGAGGCGTTGATGCCAGAACGCTCCTCCTGCGCCTCTGTGCCCAGGGATGACAGGCCTGATGACACGTACAATTTGTGAACTAAACACTCTTACCTGGTCGTCCTTCTTCCCCAGCGGAGCCTCGGGGAGACCCCAGGGAAGGGGCGACTCTTCCCTCTGCTCACGGACAATCTTACATCGTCCTCACAACCCGAAGCTTCCCCCGCGACCTCACTGCTTCCCAACAACAGCCTCATTTATGTTACCAAACACGTTACTCCTGTAACCTATTTTGCATTATAGAAACTAAGGCAACATATTTAATACTTAGATATACAATATTTAGAAGCCAAATGAAGAGTAATTTATTATTCAGCTGGAAGGCAACACAGATCTGAGCATCTCAAAGCAGCAATATTTCAAGCCAAACACAAGATTTTAATATGTTTCATTTAAGAAAACCCAACCATCACAGTCATGTCTATAATTAGTGATTTGATTAGTAAGAAGCACACAGTCTTGAACAATGAACTTACTTGATCAAAGCGCAGAACAGGCTCATTTGCATTATTGAAACTGTACACTTCCACCATTCCGTCATCTCTCCCAACAAGTAAATCTTTAACTCCATCACCCATAATGTCAAAGCTGTCAACACACAAAATACCTTTAAAAATGAAAAGAGAAGTTATTAATAATACTATATTATAGCTAAGTTTATGCCAAGTAAGAATTAAAAAATAGAATGGAGAAAAACACACTGAATAACTGAGCACAATTAGGTACCCACCCTTTTCGTTTCTCCCCATTCGTCTGTTTCTAAGGCTTTAAATAGAGTCCACATGGCAATGGCGCCCCAATTTCCACCCCCAGCTCTGCCTCTCTCCAGACTTACATAGCAAAGTCCTTCCTCAGCCTCTTCTCTGAGACATCATTTGCACCTCAAACTTTCCAAGCCCCCGACAAAACTCTCCTGGCACCCCTTTGTCACACGCCAGTAATAATGCTCTTTTTCTAGCCTCTCCTCAT